TTATAAAAAGAAATATCATCATTTGCATTCAATCGATCGCTATTACTATCAATAGATGATTTCGTTTCAATCTGAGAATTCTTCACTTTTTTGAAAACTCCTTGTGATATAGATGATTGACTTGATGATATCCTAGATTTATTTGCCAAATTTTGTTTTGACGAGCTTCTTTTTCGTTTGTTTAATGTTTCTATTTGGTCATTCATCATCGATTCATTCAATGATTGTTCAGATATATCATGGCTTTTTCTATTAATCAATGTCACAATTTCTTCTTCATTCAAACCACGTGCTCTCCATTTTCGTTTGAAGTGTTGTAATTTTTTATTTCCATGACATTTAGGCATTTTATTGCCAGTATCTGTTAATTTTGCAGCACGTATCTCTGTTGGTGATATCACTTCCACTCTCTCATTTCGACCATCCTGTAATAGCAGATCACTTTCATGAACAATGTTACATTTGTCGTTGCTTTGATTCATTTAATTCTCATTCAGTCAATGGTTAGATTTAAATCTAGAATAAAGAAAGTATATATGCATAATTAGAAGCGATTGCGATTACAAAACTCTTTTGAACATGACTACACCAACGTCGGAAAATACTAAGATGCAATAATGGCTTATACTGCTCTTCCTATTGTAGAAGAAAAGTCTATCGATACAAATGAATTCCAGATGGATATTGAATATGATACATTCGGGAAAAAATTCTCGGGTACTACATTGTAATGATCGTTCTTTTTTCAGAATATAATATGGATGAAGCAATAAACCAAGCAACACATAGAATATGTAGCAAAAAAATATAGGAGTTCTAGTGATATGGAAAACAGATGAAACAAGAAAAAGAAATACAAATAGTAGCACAAAAAAATGATGATTTGATCTGACACGTACACTTCACACAAAAATAGTTATAGAGATGAACATTTCAATGAATTAATGACGTTATCCCTATTCCATTGTATCAAAGTCTAGCGGTTGCGACCATGGTGAACCAAGAACCATCATATTGCTCATCGGATCATTATCTTCCAGATATTGATCTACATCATATAATGATAGTGTTCCTTTCGTTTCTACTGATGATGTAGTTTTGTGTTCTTCGTTTTCAGTTGCTTGCTCTTGAAGTTCATGATTACCTTCAAGATTTTTACCTGGAATATAGATATCTTTATCTACCTGAAGAGGATTTTTAAAAGCAAATGAAATATAGTGGTTGTTTTCGTATTTATCATGTAGAATTTTTACCTGACATCGTTCTATTCTAACAAAGCAGCTCAAAAGACTTGCAAAAGGTGGCATATTATTGCTTGCTTGAACTTTTTGATTATGAATGGTGTCTTCTTTTTCTGTTAGTGTAGATATTTTTGTTGTAGTATCATTCGATGATGAAGATGACTAGACAAGAGAGACAAAAAATTTCATCATATTGTAATCGTAGAAATATTTTCTTTTAACTTACTTGAATCGATGACAATTCTTGTTGATCATTATTTTCTTCTTGTACATAAAAGTTGTCTAGAAGAATCGAGAATAGAGTCGACTGAAAATGAAAGATTAACTACTAACTATTAATGGTTGTTTCGTTTCGATATTGATCTTGTGAACACGTTGACATAGTTTCTGAAAAAGATTTACAGATTATACATGATATCTGCTTTGAAAATAGCTATAGATTTCATGAGTTTGTATTTATTTTGATTAAGGTATTCCATAAATAAAAATAAACAGTGAATACATAATACACATGAAAAATAACAATGATAAAAACTTTTTGATTGTGCTTTAAAAGCCACAAGGGAACGACCTAAAAGACATGTAAAACGTTACTTTTCCTTTCCGATTTAGTCCAAGCGAACTATTTATAAATTTAGGGACAAGATTCCGGTTTCAATTGCTTTCTGTTAGGCTTTTATCGAGAAATTCATTGAACGTAAAGGTTGTGTTTTGTACCATACATCAGTATCAGATATTGATTGAACACCACATTCTTGCTTTAGTAATTATATTATTATGCCAATTTTTAAAGTTTGTTTTGTGTATATTGATATCATTTATTCGATTCAGCTTTTCTGCTGTGAGAAGTCCATATTAACACATGGCAATATAGCATTAGTCGAATTTAAAATTACCTTTAAAAGCGATTTTATCAGCCAGAAGTGCGTGGAGCACTGATGTGGTTATTTTTGTATTTCAATCAATAACACTATTGATTGTTGTTGTATAATAATGATGCTTCGTGTCAATAGTAAATTCAGTTGTTTTACTAGTTAGTTCAAACGAATCATGTAATAACATAGGAGATGTTGCTTGATTTATAAGATAAATTTCATAATTATTTATTGGAGTAAATACTGATAATATGTTTACAGCAATATCTAACACGCGTTTTGACACAGCTGTTATTTGTTGGGACACTGACATTTTGTAAGAAAAAGAACTTGGTATTTAGAATTGATCTAGAAAATGTTTCATATAAAATTTCTAGCATAGCAAAGTATTTTAAATCAGCAGAAACACACAAGTCAATAAACAGTGTTTTTTATTTATATCAAATATCAGCATCATAGGTTTTACTTATACATATACTCAAAATAATCTATGATACCATTGATTTCTGGTTAGATAATAGAACATTTAACGAATGCACGTTTATCGCTTTTAGTATAATTTTACATTTTTGTGTTGATAAATTTGGATGTTGATTGAAATATTCGAACCAAATACGATGAAATTGTTGATTGAATTGACATCTCGCACCATATTCATAAAGATAATTCAAATGAATTAACTGAGCCTTATCATCACATTGTTGAAGTTGATCAGAGAGTTCATGTTGTATCTTAATATAATTGAACCAATTATGGCGAAATTTGTTATACATGATTTGATCTCTTGAATAACGCATTGGATGAAGATGAAAAAAATTAAAGAAATGTTGCACATGAGTTTCAACAAATCGTAATGAATAACCATTGGTAAGACAAGTTAATTCCAGATAAATACGTTCGACATTAAAATCT